ATTGAGAGTGGTTGTGAGGGTGAAACGTGAGAGTGAATGGAATGCGGTCGGAATCTTCCTTATGCGACGTTTGTAGTGCTGAATGTCGATCAATAAGTTGGGCGCGGTGGTAACCCGCTTGAACGACAGAAACAGGGTAACCACGTTTATCGAAAAACTGGCACATTGACTCTGATTTGTGGTGGAAATATCGGGACCTAAACGATCCATTAAGATCACCGATCACTTCACGTGCACCTCCGCCAATGTAATCTATTGCATAACTTGCACTTATTGCAAAAAGATATACATCGGCGAAACAGGCAGAAGACTAGGTGACCGATTCCGAGAACACCTTCGAGACGTGGAAAGGAATGACAAGGACACATCGAAACCAGTCGCTAGACATTTTAATTTACCTAATCATTCTAAGCAACATATGGCAATCTGCGGTCTTTCCTTACACTTAGGTAGCACGGAAAGCCGTAAAACTCTTGAACAAAAGCTCATCTTTCAAACCGGCAGTCTAAATCCCACAGGGATCAACGAACGCTTTTCATTCCACTAATTTATTCGTGTTTTTCTCGTTGCCATGTTCCCACCAATAACGTAGCTCCATTTTCTGCCTTTAAAAGCACACACAACCCACAATTCCTCTATTCGCTCCGACGAAGGGCTAACGCTCGAAACGTCAGCTTTTGCAATCGTTACGGTGGCCAATTTACCATTTCAACTTTGTTGATACATCCAAGTGATCTTAACGGATCGTTTGGGTCCCGATATTTTTTCAGCGTTGTGAATGAAAGGACAAGTTTTGCATCGTGCGCGAGCACATTTTAAAGTGCCAGGTTGGTCATTAGTTAGGAATGAACCAACCCGGCACTTTTAAGGTTACTTCTTACCTTCGCGGGTGTCCTTCGCGAAAAAATTCGTACGCACGCCAGTTTGAAGAAAACCCTGACAAACTATACATCAAAACAAAGATTAATAAATGCAGTTTACGATAAAAATATAATGTAGGCGATCTTTTTATTTAGAAAGTGTCAGGAGCCGGTAAGGCGTGAAATTACCGAGGGTCCTTCTGTTGAATTTATCAGGTATCGGATCCCGCGGCAAAAGAAAACTGGCTGCACAGTCTCATTCACAAGGCATCAATCAACAAAAGTGTGACGGGCTTTTCCGATATTCTGATTGGTTGTCTACATATTCGTATCTAAAGTTAGAGTAGCGAAAAATATGCGCAGCGTGTTGCGTAAATGGACACCACGTAAAAATATTTCAAATATCAAAATTTCCTGCCACACTTTTATTCATTATCATCCTAGGAATGTTTTGGCGAAATTTCACGAAATCGGTCAAATCTACATACCCTATAAATTCGCTCAAAATGGATGTATTCCTCTCAAAATCAAATGCGAGATTTTAGCTCCTAAAGGTTTGTAAACAACTAGCGCCACACCAGGAGATTATCTCACCTCCTGAAACCGCAAACCAATGAGACGACGAGACCTCCTGGCGTCAATGACAATGGATCAAGATTTTCCCGGGGCAAGTATCGCGTAGCTGTCACGTTTTTTTACCCAGATCGTTTAGCTATGGACAAATTCGGCGAAGGAAAAACCCGCGCCAGAAAGGGTAAATCTGTCGCATTCTTCTTTTTCTCCATCGGTTTCGTCAGATTCCGACGAAGAGTCATGTTTACAACCTTCTGTGGTGTTGACTTTAATTTTTAAGCTGCTTGCCCCAAGGATAATCGAATGCTGCCGATCTTCAGCGGATGCCGAGCTTGTCGAAGGCTCCTGGCCAAACCAAGAGCAATTGTCGCTTTCAGCAAGGATTTTTTTTTGTTGACAAAATGCTGCCGTTTCTCTCTTCTTTGGGCCTGTTTTTTCCTTTTTCTTTACTCAAGGACTCCTCTCTAATTTTGAGTTATGTTTTTTATCCATGAGAAAAGACTTTCCACAAGCAACTAACTTCCACGTATGAATTTTGTCAAGTGCGCGATGTAAACAATATGCAAATGACGTGAAATTGCCGCGAATATTCTCTCGGGGGGTTCGTCCATTTACGAGATTATGACACCTTCCTGATTTATTAACTTTTATTTGAAAATACGTTTTTCTAAATAAGTCGGACGCTTTTTGAAATTTTTAATTTTCTTTCTTGTAAACGTTAGTTAAAATGTTAGTTAAAATCTAGTCCAAGAAAATAAAAAAAAACATTTTTCAGCCTCTGAATAAGCTGGCTGAACACAGTTTTTGATATCTGTGTTTCTTTCACCATTTTCTCTAAAACCCTTGATCTCTCGGTCGCCAAAACTGNATTTATTTCCTTATGTGTTTTCGTGTCAAATTTCGTGAAATTCTAATGAATAGTTCTCAAGAAATAGGCATATTTCCGGGAAAACAATTTTCCATTCAATCGCAATTTTTTAAATGCGCTGCATTAAACTGGGTTCTTTCGGCAACGACGAAAAAGCTGAGAATTGCTAGGTTCTTTGCACCGTTAACTTTTCTAACATGTCTTTCTAATAAAAGATTAAAGCCCTCAATACACGGCGCCAACTATAGAGAAAAATAGCACAGATAGTGAAGATACGTGTTGAGTAAATAAAACGACCGCTCTATTGACGGCATGTTTGTTTTTTACAATACTTGCGCGCGCGCTGAATTGCATCAGCAAAAGCGCGCGCGAAAACTGTGTTTAGCCACCTTCAATTGTAAAGAACGAAAAAATAGAAACTGTGATATTAATAAAATCCACATGAACGCGTACGTTCTAGCATGAAGAAGAAAGCAGTTATCGTCGTGGTCACGTGGTCTCCGATTTTATTTTTTTCCAGAGGAAGAGGATCTTGGAAACAGTAATTGAAATCTCAAGTGATCTTTATCCAGAGTGTTTTAATGCCGGCACTCAAAATGTCTCGGAGAAATTGCCAATTCGTCTGAGATGTTTACATGGCCACACATCACTAGCCTCTGAAGATGAAAAACAATTTTAAGCTATTAAATAAAGCATTCAGCTCATTCAGGGATTCAACTTAAACGTTTACAGACTCTTGCACCAATTCAAAGTTCTATTTTTGTGTCAGCGTGCGTGCGAGATATGAGGCATGAAAGAACAGACAAAAAAAAAACCCAAAACAAAAGGCACTAAAGAGTTGCTCGAGGCACTTGCTAAATATAACAAAGCTGCTAAATTCGTGAATCCACTCTAGCACGTCCTACATACTCCTATCGTTCGCGCTAAGGACGTTTGTATACGATTGACTGATTAACTGACACATATTAAGTGAATTTCTTTTCATCACTCAACCCTTTTGATACTTTGCAAATTTTGTTTCAGGTTTCTTTTTTAAATCATTTCCAACGTAGCAGCTTAAATGTTGTACAAAACGAAGTTCGGTCGGCCTCATACATACCCAGACGTGACAACTAAGCACAAACACACGCTCACCAATGAACCAAGAGAATATTTTAATAGGTACTACATTTCAAATCAAATTTAATTGAGCATACTACGAAGTTCCATTATAGCTAGACGCTGATGACGCCAACGTGTGCACTGCCACTTTCTTTAAATAGCTCCGCCTTTTAAGTGCTCGCCAAATATCCCGAGTGCTTCATATCTTGATGAACACACAGCTGACACTACAGCATAAAATCTTCAACACCAAATTTGTGCTCCGTAAGTAACAGGCATTCAGATGGCACCTGGTGAAACGTCCCACCAAGAATTAAAACGATCAAGTTCTGCCGGTGATAAACGGCAATGGGTTCGGCCTGATTTACCTTCGAAATGTACTTGGCACTTGAGAGTGAAAACTGAATCTCCACATCAACACGAGAAGACCACGTAAGTGATCGAACTGCGTTTAGGGAAACAAGACCAGTTATGTCGTTTAATGAAAAGGTAACTCTTTGCCGGATTTCTTAGGGTGACAGAAAACAAAGTAATTCCAAATATTCTTCATCGCATTGGAAATACCCCGCTAGTTCGAATAAACAAGATTGGAAAAAGCTGTGGCTTGAAATGTGAATTGCGTGAGTACAAGTTTAAGTTACGTGTGTCATTAGACCATGACTGTGACTTTATTGTAGTCAGCTTATGAATAGTGGTGTTGTATTTCATCCTCAGTGGCAAAGTGTGAGTATTTCAACGCAGGAGGTTCAGTGAAGGACAGGATAGGCCTTAGAATGATTGAAGATGCTGAGCGCCAAGGAAAACTCAAACCTGGAGACACTCTCATTGAACCCACATCGGGAAATACTGGTTAGTCGGTCTACAATGTTCTTTACTGTGAATTAAAATGATTATTACTCGTATCATGTGAAATCTTTAACCATATCATCAGTTTTTGTGCAGTCGTTCCCACACATTGTGTGTATCTCAACTACTTCATTGTTTGCCGGAGTTTGCCAAATTCGTTGTTCACGTGATCAAAAAAACCCACAACATTGGGCATAAAGTTATTGGCTAATGAAGGAGTAAGAGGTCACCCATCATTTAAACTCGTTCGTTCCCATAATCCTCTCCCATCCTCCCCTTGAAAGGTATTCCAGCTGCAGCTAATCTAACATGAAAAAAACGCATGGAGAATGGGTCCTTGATTAAATTCTGCCAAGGCAGAAGAAATGTATTTTTCGGAAGGTATGGAAGACGAAGTACTTTCTTTGGTGAGAGGAACTCGAGAAAGAATGAGTAAGGCCGGATATGACGATGACGAAAAGATTTTATCTCATGAAATTGGTTTAAAAGTTCTATGGAGCAGTTTATTTAAGAAAATTAGTGATACTTCTTTCGCTGGCTTTAAAACGCTGGAATACTGATAAACCCTGTCCAAACGTTTTTTTTTTTCAGCTCTAGATTGTTATTTTTCTCCCCAAAGTTTTGAAATACAGCTCATCCGAAAAGATAAGAATCAGGGGTCATCGACTGACGTGTGATTTAAATTAGGGACATTATTAAACATCCATGATTTCCCTAGTTCTAAAGACAATTTTGACTAACTAGTTAGTAATCATGTGACCCTGCATAACTTAAAATGTATCTTGCTCAGGAAACATTTATTGATTGCAATGAACGTCCAGGTTTGAACGTGAACATGGCTGAGGCTGGTCGAGTGCTTATGGCGGGATATCTGTTATGCTCTCTTATCTGAACTACTCGGCGATTCCAGACAATCTGAATAATTTGTCGCTAGCTCTCCGCTATTTCTTGAAACACAATAGAGCTGCCTTTGGCTAACAAACAGCGCTTTTCTACTTAATCATAAAAATTACAATTTCCTTGATTGTAATTGATTCAAAACTCCTATTTTCCACTCATTCACTTGCCAAGTTGTTATCAGGCAGTTCGTTATCGGACAGTTGAATACACTACTGATATACAATACACTAACCAAATTCAGTGTTGTAGTTCAACCCAGCACAACCTTAGTTTCTTTTAAGGCAAATTTTCCTTTTCTTTCATAACTTGGTTATTCTTCTTTTCTCACCATTGTAATTTTTATGATTTATTGGTAATAAAACTTGGTGTCGTCCAATTCGGTCTGTAATCATACAAGTGATAAACAAATCGGACGGTTGTCCAATTCACTCATATGATTACGAAAATACGAAAACAAATAGATTTTTATACATTCAGTACCTGCGCGCTAGGAAACAGTAAGTTTTGTTTTTTTTTCGCGAGTTTCAGGGTTTCCCAAAACGACTCTCATATACATTAAGTGCACATACATCAAGTGTATTAAAAACATTTTATTTTCTTTAACTTTGAAAACTGACGTCCAATATACACCTTAAGAGCTTGACAGCTCTTGTCTACGGCAAAATTTAATTCCAAAGTAGACCAAAACTTCTTTGAGAAGTGCATGGCCTATTTTTTGTCTAAACGAAAAATTCTCACTACAAAATATATGTAGGCATGCGCGGAGATTTGTCTGGAATGGCGATCTTTGGGTTTTATATCTTCGTTAGCACGTACGAATTTGACAATGTTTGGATGTTTGTTATTAGATATTTATTTTCCATTGCTGTTAAAAATAAACTAAAACCCGGTGACAATGAATTGATGTATTTTAAGTCCTGTGAATGTCTGCTATTCCGCATGCTCAACTAAAAACAGTGGGACCTTTTCTCAAGAATTCCTGTCGACAATTTCAGCTGTACAATATTGATATCGCTGATCGGATGCTCTGACTGACCTCTTAAGTGAAACGGCACCCAATGGGCTATTTGTTTTTAACCATGAAATAATGATAGTGTCTCCTTCCCCATTTTCTCTTCCATGACCCTCAAAGTAAGGCGGTGAACTTCACCAAGTACAATAAACAGGCGACAGTTTTTTTCTCCGTACAGTATATTAAACCTTTTTTCTGCCATGGTGAAGAAAATGGACAATTAGACAATTGAGAAGTAAACTGAAGGCGATGGTCTTTGAATCAATAATATATCGCACCACTACGATTTTTACTGGTTACATATGTAACAAACTAATGCATTCCTAGGGGATGAATGTAGCTCTTAAACAGAGGTATGCATCATTGTCATAAAATAACCCGCGTATTTATCAGGATCACCTGTGCCAGTGTATACGAACACTAAGAATAAACATACCCTATATAAATCGTGTTGTATCTCCTTACAGGGATTGCTGTTGCTTTAGCAGCGCTTGTGAAAGGTTATCGTTGTATTATAGTCATGCCTGAAAAGATGAGTAAAGAAAAGGTATCAAAATTGTACATAACAATGCATAACATGAAAATTTACATATTCTGCAAATCTTCCTTGATCCTCCCAAATAAAATAGACGAGGGAAGGCATTGGCTTTTTGTTTGATGTTCTTGTAATGTCAATCCTTTTAGCGGGAAAGTATGTGTATCACCCTATAAGACGTAAATCTACAAGTTATTCAGTTTCAGGTGTTGTTTATTGTCGATGTTTGCTGTCTTAAAATTCCCGCGAAAAACAAAAGGTCGCCCACCACAAAATACAACTCCCGCAAAGTGTTTTACATGGTATCCAGTCCTTGCACGGGATCAGAATGATATCATCAAATAGCAACTAAGCATTAACTGATGCGGCTTCGGAACAAAATGATTCAGATGTCAGGGATATTCTGTCTAAATTCTATTCTGTCATAATATACAACACAATTTTGTTGTATATTATAATTCCTTCAACCAAGTCACCAGAATAACGTATCACTTACCTCAAATGGATTATCTTTATTGCAGTTAGTCTTAATCTCAGGAATTTCTTAAGGATTTGTGGCTCATTTGATTCAATTCTTGTCTTCAGCTATGCATGACCGTCTAATGTTTTTCAGGCGGATGTCCTACGTGCTTTAGGTGCAGAAATAGTGCGTACACCAACAGAAGCCAAGTTTGACTCACCAGGTGAACAAGATATGCGCATAATAGCAACAATATCAGTAATCACCATCCAGGATAAGGAAGCGTTCTCCTGTTAGTACCTGTCTGTTTTGCAGAAGGCCCACACCCCCCATCAGCCATCTGATATCTTGATATGTATTCAACAACAGTATGAACTGTAGGAGAGGACAAACCCTCGTTCCATTGTTAATAAAAAAAAGTGTAGTTAAACAATAATTCATCCGAATGGTGCTCAGCGGTTCATCTCTAAATACTTAATTTATCGAGCTTTCCTTCATATTAAAGGTAGTTTTCTTTACTTGTTGCCTCTGTTTCCTATAAATGGCTTAGCATTTTCTTGAAACATACCAGCCTTCGCTCCACTTGGCTCACATGAGTTATTCATTCATGTCAAGACATTTCCATTGAGGAAACGATAAAGTTTACCGTTAGAAAAGAAACTGTGCGTAAGGTACAGCTTACCTGGTTCAAAAGCAAGGGGATCATGTTCATAAAGTGTTATCTGTTTATTTCAGAATCACACATTGGTGTTTCTCAACGACTTAACAGCGAGATCCCAAATTCCATTGTCTTAGATCAGGTGATGAAAATCAGACATGAGAATATAAACTGCTGAATAACATTTATTCAATTTATCATCTGAATTTTGACATCTTTGGTTTACCTGACACATTGTAAATTAGCTAACTATACTAATTTTTTCCAAACATAACGATTACAAGGATTTTGTTTTTTAAATCAAGTCAGAAATTAATAGTAAGGTTATATATCAATTGAATATCATTTGTTTTTTTTTGTTTTTAACATGCGTTATCTAATAAGGCTAAGATTTGTTCCTTTTTACTAGTATCGAAATGCGAGCAATGCCTTGGCTCATTATGATGGAACAGGTGAAGAGATATTTCAGCAATGTGGTGGTAGGTGTTCTGTTTGATTTGCTTGTATGTAAACAATTGTAAACAATGTATGTAAACAATTTTATTACACGACTCGGGTAGTCAGAGGGCCAATAACTAAAATTAACCAATCAAAATGCTCTATTGCCGGTCCAATATTCTCTAAGTATTGGACCGGGCAATGTCCCGAATGGTTCCGAATGATACCACACTTATGTACCTTTGAACTTCAGTCGTATAATAAATCTCTTATTAACCAAGCTTGCTCGGGACCGTACTGGAAGAATATCGGCCCTCGTTCTTTTTTGTAAGGACCTCGCTGCGCTCCGTCCGTACTGTCAAGACCTCCGGCCGATATTCTCCCAGTACGGCCCTCGCGCTTGGTTAATAAGTTATATGTAAACAATGTATGTAAACAATGTGTGTAAACAATCGTAAACAATGTATGTAAACAATTGCAAACAATGTATTTAAACCTCAACAATTGAATTAAAGCTGTAAAAAAGTGGCGGTGTAAAAAAGAGTAATTTAGCTCTTGATGTGATGCAATATTTTTGTGAAAAAGTGCTGTATAAAATTTTTGCACCCGTTGAACTGATTCTTGTATGGTGTTGTGTTTCATAAAGGCAAGGTTGACATGGTGGTACTTGGAGCTGGTACTGGAGGTACAATCACAGGAGTAGCAAGGAAGATTAAAGAAAAATGCCCTAACGTTCAGGTATCAAAAATGAGGAGCTATTGTAACTCTTTATCAGTGGTTATATATTACATGATATTGTAAATATACGTTCAGAAACTGATAAGATTTTAGGAAGATCATCAGCAAGAGAATATCAATTGTCATCAGACACTAAAAGGTTCGGAGAAAGAGTTTAAACTGAACCGTGTGTTTTCTTGATGTAACATCTGATCACAAATTCCTAGGGCCGACATGGTGTTTCAATTCTTGAAAGGAACTCAGATCTTTTCATCGTGCGACGCATCGCTTTTAACAATGTTAACCATCTGTCTATTTATGTTTTTAAAATTTCAAATGATGTGATGTAAGTGTGATGCTGGGCGGCAACGGTTTGCTGAGTTCTGTCTTATTCGTTTCATTTCTTCTTTCCGGTTACCGTAATGAAGGATTCTTTTGCTGTAGATTACCTCTAACTGCCTGGGGTTCATCTTGGACGATTTTACTCGTTTCGGAATCGGGTTTTGTCCTCGTATACCGGTTCACAAGAGCCAATACAAAATACCAAACAATACACAATAGCTAACCGATGACTCCTAAACAAAGAAAGAACAATGGTGATTCCCTTGTGAACCGGTACACCAGGACAGAACCCGGAATCGCCGTCTGCATCAGAAAATCAGATATTTTTCGCGGGGCCGATTCTTTCTTGGACAAATGCAGTTGGAGATGCAAATTTTGTGGATCAGAATACTTACAATGGAACTGATTTTGCTATTGAGCTCTCATTGTTGCTGCTAACCTGGTACGCCACGGCCAGCAACAGGTCTGTCACAAATAATGGAACTTTCTGCGTTAACAAGGCCTTATTGTCATCTTTTTGGGGTTGGAATTTCAAGATCAAACGCCATAAAAGACCGTGTGCATATTATTCAAATTCAACAGCAACATTCCATTGCTTACTTGTTGGCGACTTAGTAGACTGACTTCTACCCAAAAGATGACATTTCGTCTGCTGATAAAATTGTGCCACCATTCCTTACTTTTACTATGCTATCAGTTCGAGATGTTAAACAGCTTATCCAGAACTCTACCCTTAAATCCTGCCCTCTTGACCCTATGCCGTCCCCACTGGTTAGCAAATGTGACGATCTTCTCCCAGTTCTCACAAATATCGTTAACAACTCATTACAGTCCGGATGTTTTCCTGAAATCTGGAAAGAGGCTTAGTTTTTCCATTGTTAAAGAAACCCGGTCTTGATGTCATCTTTAAGAACTTCCGTCCTGTGAGCAATTTGTCTTTTGTGTCTAAGCTCATTGAAAAGGCTGTTTTTGATCAGATTCGTGGTCACCTTGTTTGTAATAACTTATACCCAGTTGCGCAGTCGGCTTATAGAAGAAATTACAGCACTGAAACAGCACTTTTGAAAGTAATGAACGATATTCTGTTGAATATTAACAAACAGCACGTGACTATCCTTGTATTGCTTGATCTAAAGTGCTGCCTTCGATAGCGTTGATCATAGCATTCTCCTTAACAGATTATCGTCAAAACTTAGTTTGAATATTGCCTTAGTTTGAATATTGCCCTTGCCTGGTTTCGATCTTATTTGTCTGGCCGTTTCCAGCGAGTGTCTGTTCGGGGAGCTGTATCTGACCTGCAATATCGACCTGCTGTATCTGACCTGCTGTATCGACCTGCAGTATGGTGTTCCTCAAGGCTCGTGTCTCGGCCCATTTCTCTTTACAGTTTCTGCAAGCGCACTGTTTGATGTCGTGGAGAAGCACCTCCCAACTGTCCATTGTTAGGCCGATGACTCTCAGTTATACATCTCTTTTAGTCCCACGATGCACTCTGGCCAGGCTGATGTAGTCGCTTCTATCGAACATTGTATTCAGGACATCAGGCAGTGGATGTCTCAAGACAGGTTACTCATGAATGATGCCAAAACTGAACTTCTTTTGATCGGCACCAGACAGCAACTTGCTAAAATCACAATTGATGGCATAACTGTTGGACACTCT